TTTCCATTTAACCATAACACTTTTATCTGCAGTTAGGATTTTCCTGATATAATTGTTAATAAACCTTTTATCCATGATAAAAGAGAGCCAGATACATGGTTATATATTGTGGTTTTAATAAGGTGAAGTAGTTTTAGGGAGATGCATTGAACACATTTTATGTATTCATTCAAAGTGATTTTTAAACCAAAAGTGTTAAGAAATTCACTGTAAATATATTATATGAATCCTCTACAAGATAAAAGCTAAAACGGTTTGCCATAACAATACAACTGGACAAAATCTTTACCGTAATGCTATCATAATTATTAGTCAATTATTAGATAACAATGGTACATTATATTCATTTTCTGAGTTTTCTTAAAAGCTGAATTTTAAACCCTCAGTAAAAGAATACAAAAGTTATTAATGCCATTCCCAATGGTTTAAAAACTCTACTAAAAGAAGTACAAACTTTTCATTTGGATCCTACCTAGACCAAACAACCCAATCTCAATAGAAGGGAATTCAATAGTTGATGGTAGATTTAATAATCATATGATGCAGAATTTTTTTTTTAACCATAAAACAATTCCAGCGTCTTTTTAATGGCTGGCCATATACACTCTCGGAAATAAAGGTACAGGAGCTGTCACTGGGGCTCTGTACCTGAAGGGTTCATAATGGTATCTTAAAGGTACTTTTTAGGTAGCCTACATTTGGGCACTAATATGCACCATTGAGGTACCAGTGTGGACTCGTTCAGTATGTATCTTTTGAAAAGGTACTGCCCGAGTGACAGCTCCTGTACCTTTATGTCTAAGAGTGTATAACATAAATTGAGACGTTACTTTGAATTTTTCACATAAATATTTGCTAACTAACAAAATAAAAGAAGTGACATATAAAATATTACATAGATGTAATCCTTGTAATAGCTAACTTAGTAAATATATGCTAGATATTGAAAACAAATGTACTTTTTGTGATTTGGAAGAAACCATTGTTCATCTTTTTTTTTGAATGTGCTTGTGTAAAATTATTTTAGCCTGAACTATTGATCTATCTCTCAGAAAAGACAAATGTTGATATTTGTTTAAATACTTTTGACATCATTTTCTTTTAATACAACTCTCTAAATCTTGCATTCAGTACATTGTTAATTGTTTTATTATAATAGGCAAGTTTTTTTATACACAAGTGTACATTTTGGAAAAAAATCCAATTCTGGCTATTTTTAAAATTGTCTATAAGTCATATTTTGTCTTTAATGGGCATACAAAAAGTCTTTTAAAAGTAAAAAATGGCTTTCAATGTAAAACCTCTGGTCTCTATTTTTTTTCTTTCTTCTTTAAAATGTGTTATGCAGATTGTAACAACATCTTAATTTTTCCTAATGTTCCAAGTTTCTGCAATTTATTGTTAATTGTTGTTGAAACAAAACAAAAAACATAAACAATCTATAATAATAACTTCCGGTATTTCGCAGCGAGTGCGCATGACAGTCAGCCGGTTGAAGAAGTCTGAAGAAAGCGCTCTGTCTCTTTAAGAGTTCTCCACACCTATCGACTGATATGTGAC